GAATCTAATTAAAATGATTAAATTAATTAATAATATTAAATTGTATTTATTTGCAAAATATGGAAAAGAAATACATATTTGAAAGGCCTGAGTTTCAGCAAAGTCCAAAATTTAGTTCTACAAGCAATAAATTATGTAACATTTTTCTGTTACTCTAACTTAAATTAAAATCAGGTCTATGAATAAATGTGCTTTTTATTTCAGTAAATTGGCAGCATTTCGAAATGATGCTATGAAACAAAATTTCATTAACTGAGTAGTGTGTTTTAGTTTAACACAAACTAAAGGTATTGAACTTCTATCCTTTATCAAGAGCTATATTTATTTTCTATAGAGTTTCAATAAAATGGTTAAGGAGTGTTTTGAGAAAATAAGATGACATTTGTGTTTATATATAATTACAAGGAAATATATATATATATATATATCTTGCATAAATGTATAAATGCTATATTCAAATGTAGAGTGGTTAAGACCGCTGAATAATGATAGTTCGATGGCGGTCCACACCCAAAAGAAAAGGCTGGCTGTATGATTGGCGTTTCCCATATGTAACGTAAATACGAACAAAGTTTTTCTAATAGTTAGAAGGAAAATATGCATATTGTAATATTTATATTGACGGAACTGTTTTAATATCAGTTAACAATACACAGATATTATTATCTGTTAACATAATGAGTTGTTTTTCAAGGTCAACTTGCATGAATAAAAGATCTAATGAGAGGCAAAAGTAGTTGGTTATTCTCAAACCCTTTTTTATGTACGAGGATCACTCTGGAATTTTTGAGATATGCATAGGTTTTTAAAGTTATACTGATGAAATATTAGGAGTGTTTAAAGTGATCTTCTCCAGCATCAGTGTACTTCTGTAGGCGAATTTCGAAAAGATCAAATGCATCAAGACATTCATTTCTTGGAATCGATGAAAAAAATGTATTTATAGCCTCATCAATCTCATCTTTGTAATGAAAATGACGTCTGCGTCAAGTTATTTTTTAAATTAAAAACATAGCCAAGAGTCACTCATAGCCATATCGTATGAATAAGATGGATGTTCTATCACTTTGATGTGTTTATGCTCAAAAAATTCTACTGTTAATCTTGCTTAATGAGAAGATGCATTGCCATGGTGGAGAATGAGTCCTCTAACATTCACTTCTTGAAATAATTTTAGAAGACACTTAGTGGTGTACCAGTTAGCTGTGACTGTCTTCTGTCCTTCCAGCTTGATGGCTTTGACCAGACCTGTACTTTGTGAAGAAAATGGTATACATTACGTTTTTCATGGCACGTTTTCTTTTTTACCACTGTGGCACTGTGGGCGCGGGATCATTTTCAAAGACCCATACTTTACTTTCTTGACGTGTTGGAAAGTCATAAAATGGTGCGCTTCACCATCAGTTGCGATTTTAGAAATAATTCGGTGGTCACCGCCTTTAAGTAATTTAAGGTTTTTTTTTACTGATTTTGACACACTCCTCTATTGTCGCTGCGTTAAATAATGGGGACCCAACGACCAACTATTTTTTTTTCCTATACAATTCTTCATGGATAATTTTATATATGGCAGCGGATCCAATGTTACGATTCTTCTGTATCATTTGATAGGTGCAGCGATTATCATCGATTAATATATTCCGTATGGCAGACCCATTATCCGAGATTACTGCTAACAGCGGCCTCTTGTATCTGTGTGCGTTTTTTTTCCTGAGAAGAGTTGTGATCTCTGTGAAATTCTGTAAAACAATTTAACACAGTATCACGAGATGGACCTCATTTCCTAATGCTGTTTGTAGACGTTGAACGTATTCTTTGTTTAATCCCACTTTAAAATTATAGGAAATCTCATAGCGCGATTATGTTCTCGCGTGAACTCCATCTTTCCTTCTACCTAAAATTTATTCTACTCTAAACTACTTGCGATTGGCCAATAAGAAACAGTCTGTTAGGCTAAAATAGTTCACATTTTCAAATCTAACAGTTAATATTTTTTCTGCCACTGAGCGTATATAAAAAATTACAAAGTGACCTACGTATATTTTTAACTACAGTTAAAAATATTATTTTCCACCTATTATGGTGAACGTAAGGCAAATCAGTTTTAATTTTTGTAATTGAATTAACCTATTTTCGATCGATTTAGGAAGCCTATAATTAAAAATATAATTCTAAATTTCTGCCAGTTATTCCCTTTCTTTTATCTTTAAAATTAGAATTTACAAGAGATATTAAGTACAGTTTTAGTCTAAATAGGTTGTGTTTCTTTGCATCGCACTTCAGGAAATATTAGTTATAATACTGCTAATTATTTAGATGATAATTATTACATCGCGGTGCAGGGAATATTAGTTATACTTATACTATATTGCAGGAAATAGATGGGAATTGTTTTAATTATAAATATTAAATATTAGGATACTGAATATTAAGATCTACCTAACACATTTTGTTAATTGATTACATTTCAGTGCAGATAAACCTAAAATTATTTCAATATATTTCAAAGATGTCTGTATTTCACATTGTATATTTCAGATAAAGCTATAGAAATCAAAATGTAGTTCGAAATTTTGATAAGAATTTGAAATTTTCTTTGATACTGCATTTAGTTGCATTTCTTAAAATTTCACAAAATTGCATTTCTTAAAATTTGATACTGATTTCATTTTCTATTTTCTAAAATTTCAAACTATTAAAAGTAGAATTCGAGGGACTCAATCTTCAATTGTTCTTCCAATTTGTGCCACCAGGGGCTCCCGATGCAAGTACTAGAATTTCAAAAGTAACCGTAAAAATTAAGTAAAATGAATATTAAAAAATGTTGTGATACAATGAGTTGAAATTCTGTTCAGTAACAAGTATTTCTTAAAATTACTGGAGTGTTTAAAATGTATTTGACTCGCAACTAAGCTGAAAGAAAACCTAAATAATCTAGTTCCTCTTGTTAATTGAGATGTTGCAAGTATTTACAATTATTAGTTGGATGCATTTAAAAACACGTAGTGCATCGATATACTGTTCTTAAATATAAGAATATTATTTTTCTTGGTTCATAATGATTATTGACTTAGCAAATGTAGTATGTATTATTATTTTTATTTCTAAATACTAGGTATATTATTATACTATACATATATATTATTAAAAATAAAGCAAGGAGCAATCATTATTTTAAAAATAATTAAAGATCCTACATCGCACCGAATGGCAATGCTTTAAAAATTGGCTGTTTTCCAGATAGCTTAGAAAATAACAAAAAGGTTTAAATTTTCCGCTTACCAATCTTGTGGACGATAAATGCATGGCAATGTAAGAATTAAGGGCCAAAAAATATTGTAAAGTCTCCCAAAAGGTAGTCATAATGTCAATAGTATGTATGCATGAAATTAGTTGTGGTGGCTCTTTTAAGAGAATCGTTATGGAGACTTAACGCCTAAAAATTTTAGTTTTACATAAAAAATAAATAAATAATTTAAATAATAAATTTCAAGAGAATTATTTACTTTTTCTAATTTTGATTGTAATAAAGGAAATATTATTTTCTTTGAAATATAGACATTCCATACCTTTTGATAGAATAATTATTTATAATCAAAATTCGTATACTCGATGCATATTCCGGTATTATGACCTAAATTATCACGTTTTTCAATAGTACCTAAATGTTAAACTTTGATTCCTTTTATTGAACCTGAATTATATGTTATTAAGACTTCATGCGCATTTGTGACTATGTACACTATGCTCTTAGTTTCGCAGGAAGAAAAATAGTACATTTTAAAGGTAACAGATAGATTAAGCTCGCAGACTGACCATCATATTTTATCGAAAGCATGGAACATCTATCTATATATAATGCACATATTCTAAATTTTATTAATGTGAAATTTAATTAATCGCTGACAATATCAGTTTCAAATTAGACACTTTCAACTGCATGTATTATTTATTCGGTACAGAAACAACATATATTTGCATTAAAAATACAGTTTCATAATAATTTAAACAAAGAGTAACGAGTTTCATAAAGCAACTGTTTTAATTAAGTTATTTTAATTTAAAATAACCAATGATTAAAATGAAATTATTTTTAAGCATGGTTAAGTAATTTATTATAAATTCGCAATGAGTTAATAAGCGCATAATTCCACTTGATAATTTTATTTTATTACATAATAAACCAATTCAGTGTTGGTTTGAAATATATATTAACCATATGCTAGCCAATTAACTAGTCGTGAATGCTTGTAAAATAATTATTTTAATCCGTTATTTTTCGGAGTTTGCGAACACTTCTAATTTCCTTTATATATTTTTTAGAATTCCCTTTAATTAAAAACTGGTTGAAAAAGCAACCTTAATTTGGCGTAGATTTTAAATAAATTTTATTGATATCGAAGGAGATTAGACAGGAATCAGGTCCCTCTTCTTCAGGAGCAAAAACAATTTAATTATTAATTTCCCAAAACCTTTTCTTACTTGCTTAAAATCGCTTAAGAAAATGATAATGTTTTACCCAAAACCTACGTGGAATTAAAATTGCTTTTTTGCGTAATATTCAGATTTACATTAGGTGGTTCATTTCAGGTTCTCTCGTAGATAATCATTCATCAAAAATCTAGAAATTAAATTGAAAATTCAAAGTGAAACTTTTCGGTAACTATTTTACAATACTCTTGCAACGAGATTTATAAATATACAGTTCCAGATGAAATTTTTAGTGAAAAAAAAACATGTAAGATAGATGTAGACAATTTAAAATACAAATAATCCACATAAAAAGCTAAATAGAGCATTATTTTCCTTCCTAAGTTGTATTTGCTGCTGTCCGTATTTAATAAAATAAGAAATATAAAATTATTATTAAATTTATAATATTATACAGGTAAAAGGTATTCATTCTACAAACTTTCTCTTCATTAAATATTCTGCTAAAAACAAAATTGAAACATCATCTATAATACACAGGAATAATAATAAAAAATTGTGCATATTACCTTCGAAATAATTCCCAGAACGCAGCACGTTTATAAGCACAAAATCTCAGAAATTATTAGGTTAAAATTTCACGCTTCGTTCGCTTTGTTTATACTTTAAAAACTTCTGACAGTTAAGAAATCTATCTGTTGCCATCCGCTTTCAGGTTAAAACTGGAAAGAAGTTACTTGTTCCGTGCTCTCAGGGCCTAACGACGGTTCTCAACATGTTTTTCCGAGCGTAATGACCTTCAGGTAGGATAATTTTTAATTTATTTTTTTTTTCCTTCTCTGCCTTTTCAGCTTCACTCATTGTAAATCTGCACGTGTTTGAAATGAAATATGTTCACAACATTTTGGAGGTTGGTAAAATGAGCCGGAGGAAATTATTTCGAACAGGTCATATGAGAGAAGAAAGTCCAAACCGTTTTTATTTCAGAAAGTGGTTTTGAAAAGGATGACATTTATTACCTATTATTACTTTTGCTTTTATTATCATTATGTTGCTGCAAAAAAAACTGAGAAATATTTCCTCAAACGTGTTTGAAAACATAACATGAGTCAGCTGTAGTTTAGTTATTCAATCGCTTCCTGCTTTTGGATATAAAATGTATAAAAAAGGGAAAGGAAAAAAGAGAACCTGAAAGATTTCAAATTTTATATTACGCTAGGGCGTTTTTTAACGTTTTGTGTGCTACCTTTATTTGTTAAATAGCATATTCTTCGCACTTAAATCATAAAATTCAATTCAACAGCAATATCATAAAATATTTAAAAGAGCATATTTTTAGAGTTTCCGATACACAGTCTCGCGCGCTGGAGATAGAATGCTTTTTTTTCTGTACAGTGTTGTCATTGTTCCCTTTCAAATCGTTGAGTTTCTTAACCGAAACTCATAAATGCTTTTCAAAATATGAAATAGATTTTAAAACAAATTCCAAATTTGGGCTTCCAGATGCCCATATTTGGGTAAAGATGATACGTTATTCAAAATTGGATGGCTCTAGGTACCATTATTTTACCACAATGCGAGAAACATACATACATTTATGCAGATTCTTATTTATTTAATGGGCCACCAGCGGCCGAGCGGTAAAGTCGCTGAACACAGGTAGTTCGGTCCGAGGTTCGAATCCCGCGAACGGGCTGGCTGCATGGGTGTTTCGTGGTTTTCCCCATGTGTAACGTGTATACGAGCCAGTTTCCCTTAGAAAGTCCTCCACGAAAGCCTCCCTTCCCCTAGGCAGATAGCCCTAGAGTGCTTTGCCATAATTAAATACACCACATCATTATTTAATTGCAGTGAAAATTGATTCACCGTTTATATCGAATTAACGCCAAATGCCAAAAGAAATTAATAGCCCTTCTGGGCAAATTGCCCGTTTGAGATAAAAATAATTTTGTTTAAAAAAATTTTTAGTACTTTCTACTGCTAGAAAAACAGTTTCGCTAGCTTTTCCTCTTAATTAACTTGAGATTCAAAGTAATTATTCAGTTTCGTATCTTCTCATTGAAATACACTAGAGTACCCCGATTATCCGAGGTAATACCTATGTCCACGGTTAATCCCCAAATTACAGTTAATTTGACAGGAGTTAACACAGGATACATAAATAACCCATATTGTAATTATATTAAAATATTATTAAAATAAAAAAATATTATTATTAATTTGCCTGAATTTTTAAGCAGTTTAGTTTGGAGAATAATTTCCTTTTGTTATGTATGTCCAATTAGCGTTTTAAAGAAAATAACACGCTTTAAAGCAGAAAGAGTAATGTTTTTGTTTATTTTACTCTTGCAGTTCCATAGGAATCAAACGGAAATGGAAGATTAATATCTGTACACTTGGTTTATTTTTACGCTGGAGCAATTTATTTTTAACGGATGATTTGACAATGTTTATATATTCCAGATTATATACAATCAAGATACCTGGCTTGCAGATCAAAACAATACTTAAGTACTGCCACGTCATCAGTTCTCATTGCTGTTATCTTACACATTATCTTATCTTTGCTGTATTCCCTGTCTTTAAAAAAAATCTTTATTTTGTTAAGTTTCTGATGGAGGAATTTGTCCATGGACAAGCGTAACTTCTTAAACAAGGCTTGATTAATCCGCCTTGGATTGACCGGATGTTAACTACAGTTTCTTTTACGCTGAAATTTTATTTTTATCCAGATATCCCTTGTATATTTTTTTGGGGGGGGAGTTAATCTTTTTTTCCAGTGAGGATCATAGGAGAAGGATTTTAAGATCAACCTCATTTATGTCTAACTGTAAAAAGGAACTTATTACTTGCTATAAATTAAATATTCATAGATAAAAATTTTATAAAAGTTAACTCTATAAATAAATGCATCTAATTTCATAATCGATAAGTGTAAACTGTTGATTTTCAAACATGCAAAAATTAATGAAGATTGTTTTTTTATGTTTCTACCTTACATTTTCTCTTTTTAAAAGAGTGAAATGATTACAGTGAGTATCTCTCTAGTGAGTTATTTCAAAATTAATCCGTGTCATATGATTCTTATGAAATGTAGTTTGATGCACGAACTCACATGATGGAAAAAGTGAAAAGGAAATCTTTTATCTAATAATAATCATATTGAAACTTTTATAAACCATTAGTGATAAAATGATACTGCATTGATAATAAAAATATAAATTCCCCATTCTTAGTTTAATATCAGTAATATAAACATCACTTTGTCCACACGCGTCTTTGCACAGCTAGTGTAGTTCATTACAGCTAATTGTAATAAATGTGTGAAACTTACGTTTGTAATCATTGGATGACTCACGAGCTTCTTGAGCTAATTTAGCTATGTATTGCCACTTTGTGGAGATTTATTTAAATTAGATAACAGTTAATTTTATTTTGAAGCAACCTTTCCTATTGCTCTTGCTTTCAACCCACGCTTTCTCGCCAAAATGATATTTCAATCTCACAATATGCTATTTAAGCTGGTGTCTGAGTTACTTCAGACAGAGCGTCTTCTACCTTTCGGCTACGTTGCTTCGCTGTTTAATCTTGCTATTTTACTGCCGTGCATATTAATGGCCGGTGGAAGGGATAAGAGCCAGCTCACGTTAATTACACCTGTGCAGCTTCGGCTGATTGTTCAACTTAGGCTTAGTTTTAATTTTACATTTATATTTTAAGTGGCAAACAAAAGTATTGGGTTAGTTTTGTAAGTACCAGGAGTGCCGAATGTAAATCTTCTCTTGAATTTCATAAAAGAGTCTTTTTGCTCTTCCAACGTGTTGTTTAATAATGCTATGGCATAAATCAGTCAGTCAGTGGCCATCACCATGACTGCGTGTTCCTTTTATCAAATCTACCTAGCTATGTCATCATCATCAGTATTTCAAAATTTCCTTATTTTATGTATTGTTTGTATACATACATATTGTCCGCAAAGTCCTTTCCCGGGTATTTTTTTCGAAGCTGTTAGTAGCAGACATATATACACTTCCGATTATAAATACGTTTTAAATATCGTAAATATTCATATTGTGGTATTTTTATATTTCAAAAAGTCAATTTTATAAAAACCTTTTATACGCTCTTCCGTCTCCACAGTTACATTTAAGAAAATGTTATAATAATTATAAAAAATAAAGCACAAAATGTTTTATTTCCGTACAAAAAAAAAATGACAAAGATTTTTAATTTCAAAGTTTGCGATTTTTGGATTAATTTGAGGTCGATTTTTTCCCTTTTAAATAGCATTCAAAGATGTTCTTTTGAGATTCAGCAGTGTCCTTGTTTTGTAATTTTGTTATATTTGGTATGATGAAAGAATTTTCACACAAGTAATGTATAACGTTTCAGATTCTAAAAACACGTTATCATTATCATGACGTTTTATTGCTTTAAAATCCTAATCTGATAATCATACGAGAAATGTGTTAAACTAGAACTTCATTTTAATTAATGCACATAATATTACGACTTGATCACAAGCCAGTACTGAAGCCAGTGTTTTCTAAAACACAAATTCTAACACGAAATTAATAGCCCATCAGGGCTGGAGAGCCATCTTGAAAAAACAAATTTGGAACCAAGAGAAGATAATACATAATTATGTCAACGTTCAAACGTTTCGTCAAATGATATGTATAGAGAATATACCGACGGAAAGATGGTAAGTAAATGTACCAAAATTCCAGTCAAATTTTTCAAAACATTTTGACATATACATTGAGGCTTGACGAATTCATCAAGATTTATCTTCAAACAGTTCATCAATATGTTGATTTCGAAACAAGCATTATAGCCGGAAGTGCACCAACCTAAGTGCAAGATCAGTCACACAGATGTCTTTGTGAGACATCTGAGCTAGTAAAACATCATATATAGATGAAACGAATACTTAAATTTATTGATCAAGTTATATTATTAAAAAAGCTTGTTTTTTATAACCATTAAAGTGGTGTAAAATTTTAAAAGTGATTCGGACAAAAAAAGAAAAACTTTTTAGCAATATTTATGACGTTAACAGGTTTCAGATAAGCAAGTAACAAATTTAGATGGATAACAGGTTTTTACTATTATCAAAACAATTTCTCAAAAACAACATTTCATCATGTAATTCATGTTACATTATGATGATAAAAAATTTGTTGGTCATTATCCTGATAAGGCTTTAGCTATACGTCAAGATCAGTGGGTTAGTTTTCAGGAAATTTTATAAAATAAACAAAATTTTTAATCTCCCATACATATTATAAAAGAGCTAACCTTTGACACTTTTAACAAGCAGTTAACTTTATTTTGCATGGTTAAATTAGCCTCAGTTAAAAGCATTACTTAATAGACTTTTATCACAAGCATAGAATAATACGTTATTTCTTTATTTTATAATTCAACTACCTTTATAACTTCGGTTTTAAAATCTGTAAAGCTCTGTTAATTAGAAATCGCAGTTGCAAAAAACTGATATGAAAGTATGTTTTCTTTCAATATTTTTGTTACTATTAATGATGTAAAATGCATATTTTTAAATTCAACGTATAAACAGAAATTAGCATATGTAGTATTAATAAAAAAACCTTTGTGTTAAGTGTTTCCATATCTTTTTTTAGATTAGCTACATTATTTGTACTTGGGCTGTGAACTGATGGAGATGTCCAGATTTGCTCTGAACACTTATAAAAATCGTTACTATTTGGAGTTGTAAACAGTTCAGAATTTTTGGTAAATTTGTTTGCTGTTCTTGCATGTTTATTTACAAAGTTTAGGTGAAAAGGTGAAAAGAAAACGTTGAACATTGATTCTATATTCATGCTTTTCCTGATATATAAAATATCGTTTATAACTTTGCATTCGAAAACATTCATGCATAGCTATTTTTAGCAGTGTCTGTATATGATCCGAAAGTTTTAATTGGCTTATTGAAAGTTAACTTCAAAAATAATTTTGAAAAAGTTTTAAATAACTTTGGATCGAATGAATATTTGTGTGATTGAATATGGCGAAGAATATAAGGCCTATGTCTCTACAGGGGTGCCTTCGAAAAAGGATTTCTAACTGAAACAGACTTATGTTTATGCTGATTATATGAGGCTGAAATTCTTTTCTCTACCTGTGTTAGTGGTTTACTAATTAGCTTATGTAAAAATCTTTCTGTTCCACAATTCGTTTTTTTCTGTAGGATCCGTACAAAAATTTAAATGTTGGTCATATTTTTGTTTGATGTCATTTAACAGAATTTTTTTTACCAATTGCGGGTCCTCAGCAGATTTCGGCTTGGCCACTACTAAGGCCAGAAGTGATGGTCACTTTATTATAGAGGCACCTAACAGGTAGCACTTTGCCTCCTATGAAGGGACGGACAGTCACAACCCTGCCATCTCCGAAATTCGAAGCCGTCGGCTCCCCTCTATTATACCGTCTGGGCGGCCGTTTAACAAAAATGCCACTTTGGAAACCTACTTTATTTTATAAATTTCTAAATTTGGAACTATGGGTTTACTCCTAATTATTCAAGACATGCTGAATCGTGCAGTTTTTCGAAATGCTCTCCTATATTATTACGGTGCGTTCTTCTATATTATTATGGTGCTCATTGCTATAGTAACATAAAGCATTATTTTCTAACAAATGCACGTATTGTTATTTATTCTTCATCTTAACGCCACGTAAACTTTACTGGTTTAATAATGTCAGTCATATACAAAATAATAAAATGTCAAGTTAATTTTCCGGGAATTCTTATTTAAAATTAGGAAATACTCCAGAAATTATAAACATAAATCTAGCTTAATTGCCAAGTAAATGTTTGAAAAAAGCTATTTTCATTCAGGAGGTTGTTTGACATGAACCTTGTTTGAAACGCTTGTAAAAAAGTTCTCCACGATAGGCGAAGAAATAAAAAATAATTACTTTCTCGGTAACTTATCTGAATATTTCACCAAAACCTGCTTTTTAATGGTTTTAAGATATTTACTGCTTTACACAATAAAGTATGATCATCGTCGCTATCAGCAAAACCATAAGGAAGTACTTAATTATTCAGCAGATATTCCGACTGAGTGTAAACATTTACTTTAAGAATCTCATTCATTTTAATTGTGGAATGACTTAACATACAGGAAGGTGATTCATAGAATTCGATTGCCTTTCTTGAGTGGCAATTGAGTATCTTAAAGAAATTATGACGAAAGAAGGATTCTTTTTAAAACTTTCTTTTAATATTTAGGATTTATTTCATTTTGTTCTCCGAATGTTTTCAAATTTTCTCATATACTCCTTAAAAAAAGTTCAACTTTCGCACGTTTATAACATAAACGAAACTATCAAAATAAAGAAAGACGAATTCACTTCTAGTTTAAAACACAACTACTAATATTCTTCCATCATATTTTGTTATAATATTTACGTAGAAACCATGAGTTCCATTCTGTTCATCTGTTCAATGGCAATCAAAAATTATATTAAAAAGATATTTAACTCATGCATTTCTGTTGACCAATGTGCAATCTCTTCTGTTCCAATGGGATAGTAATATTTTGTCTAAATTAGATGTTGTTTAGTTCAGTAGTTAAACTCGATCCTTAAAATCTCATTAATAGTTGAAAGCAGATCCCTAAAATTATTAAATAAAAATAACAGTTTTAAAAAAATGTCAGATATTGGACCATTTAATTTTAATTAAAGAAAATCACATACTTTTCAATGTTTTTCTCAAGATCTTCCTTTGGAAGGATTCGTCAAAGCAAAGCAGGGTTCTTTTGATTTACTCAAAGTGAGCAAAATCAGAGTAAACAACACATGCAGAAAATAGAATACCTTCATTTCCTTTCTACCTGAGGTATATTCATAACAAATACATTTCCGGCATCCTTTGTAAACAATTGTTTAAGTTCTAGTGTGTCATCATCACTTCCTAATGCAATGGTAAAGAAAATTCTTGGTACAAAGGAAAGTCTAATATTGTTTTCTGATGTCAGTAAATACGAAATTAGGTTGTTTATGTACTTTCAGTTATTATAATTTTTAGGCTTCGAAATCTTTCTATATCATTATTTTTATCTGATCATTTTCCCTATCTTGTGGATTTACGTATTAGACTAAGGTTTTAAAGTCTATCCCAAAGAAATGATTACCCAGTTATTTCTTGGGCTAATTAACCGGAATCGAATATATATAAGATGCAATAAAAGTTATGCCTTGATTTATTTTTAAGGACACCTCTGCAAATTTTCAAAAATTGGAATATCTTTATTTTAGATCTGTTTGTTATTATTATCAGTGTTTTAATTCTAGAGAGTTCTATGCTGCTATATTAATGAGAGATTATGTAATATAAAAGAGGCCAACAGCCTTTGTGCTTGTTATGAAACTGAAGAGGTCAGTTGAATAATACTCCTGCTGAATGAGCTTCATTTAAAAAATTTTTAAGGAATTTATAACGTTCCTTATCAATATGGTCTCTCTTATAATAGCCAAAATAAAAAATGAAATTTTTCAATAAAGAATATGAATCAGTTTCTTTTTAAACAACCTGTAAGAAAAGAAGAAATAAATAGATCTTTACTCTCTTATTGCCTTAGTCTGACATTTCCTTGTAACCTTCTTTCGTAAGTTGTTCTTTATCCTGTTAAAGCATCATGGGAGAAAATAATTCTATTTTCATCAATACATATATTTAACCATTAAAATATTGTCAGTAATGACATGATTTAAACCATTTTCGCGCGCGAGAAACAAACGGCAAAAATGTATATTTCAGAGCTTCTGTAAAAAATTTAATTTTTTCTCCAATATTTTTTTAACTTAACATTTCTTTAAATGCAGATATGAAATCCATAGTTATATCTTTACATGACTCTGACGTAAAAGACATCTGTGTAAAGAATTATCATCTTCCGTACGTGTGCAAGTGGAGATTCTTCCAGCAAGCAAACAGATATCCGCAGCTTGGGGGTCTAGGAGAAAGCGCTGTTGATTTTTCTCGTTTCTTGTTCCAAGAAACACAATGTTCTTTACATCTTTCCACAAGTGTGCATTTGAAAATTTTCATTTCTGATTTGCATGTGTCGGAAAATTTGTCAACAGCTTTTAATTTTCTTTAAGAATGTTTTAATTCAACATATCTGTGTAATCTTAACAGTATGACGATGGCATATCTTTAATTCATTAATTCGGTTACGTAAAACAGTTGTATCCTGGACATTTGTGTACAAAGCTTATGTAAAAATTAGAATTTTGGTTGTTTCTAATGAAAGACAAAAAAAAAAAAAAAAAAAAAAAAAAAAAAAAAAAAAAAAAAATCACAGAAATCACATTATCACAGAGTTATTACAGAAATTATCACAGAGTTATCACAGAAAGAAAGCGCTATTTCTGTAACTAATTTCTAAACCTGAATCCATTGGTATACTTTGTGGACTGTGGATCAAAAAGAAGTTAATCCTTTTGAAAATGGTAGTGTAAAGTATACTTACGAAAAACAAAGCATACTTTTGAAACTACTAGTAGTTTTCAAAGTAAAAGCAGAATCCTTTTGAAATAACGTTTAATGCAAACACAAAACGTTCTGTTATGTAAGTGATAGCTTAAATAACTTCCACTGGAGAGCAAACACAGGTATAAATGAAAGAGAGTAATCCATATTGAAGTTAAAAAATGGAACAAAATTTAGTGTTACATTGATGTTAATATTACAGGAAGGTTTCAAGCATTCAGCAAAAAGTAATGCCAATCTAAATCTTAATTTACCTGATCTTAAGTATCACACTTTTTTAAACTGTGTAGAGACTTTAGGTATTTTTTGAAAGCAGGAAATGTGAAAAACGTGCAGTGCCTTCGCCGAGACTCGAACCACGGACCTCTCGAATACGCGCCGAACGTGCTGACCACTACACCACGAAGGCATGCTAAGAAGTTGGGAAAAATACCTTATATACTCCCCCTTTTAAAGGGCGACTGGGGATTAGGGGACCCAGTCGCTAAATCCTGGTGGTGGGGAATCATCATCCACCATCTTTTTTTTTAGTTCGGGCGCCTCTGTAGAAACATTAGGTATTTTTTGAAAGCAGGGGATGTGAAAAATATGCAATGCCCTCTCCGGGACTCGAACCAAGGACCTCTCGAATACGCGCAGAGCATGCTTACAACTACACCACGAAGGCATCCTAAGAAGTCGGGAGAAATAACTTATAACTACATTCTTAAAGATAATTCAGGGAAAGCAAGGAATTTCTCAGCAGAATTTTTAAAGCATTGTTATGCTGAAATAGTATTCAGTAAATTTATCTACTCTACGGGGGAGGGGTCTGAACTAACAAGTTTAGAATATGGAAAAGTTCAAGAGCGCTATTTGCCTAATAGGAGGTATGCTTTCGTGGTTTAATTTTTAAAGAAAACTGGCTCATGATCATGTTGAAAAGTGGAAAACACTAAAAGCAAACACGCGACTAACCGGTTTGCATGAGTCATAATCTAGGACAAAATACGAGCATTAAGCGGTTTTAAGCAGCCGATCAGTTGTGAGGCTCTACTGTATTTGAAGTAATTATCTGCATATAGCATTTTGAAATTAGCAGTAAAATTTTTTTTGATTGCTGCATATTTTCAAATATAAGCCGATTCGTACATAAGTAACATTATCTTTGACATATTCAGCCAAACTTGGAATTCCATGCATAAGACGACTTTAAAAATCAACCTATAACTTCAGTTACAAAAATTGT